TCGCACATAAGCATAAATCACTTCTACCACCATCATGAAAATTTATTTCCTTCTGGGTCAGAGGCAAGGGCTCCTAACGAGTTATGTTCACTGTATAGTGCGTCTGTCCTCTGCTACAACGACAACAACGCAGGTAAGGGTAGTAATCAACAGAATTTTGTGAAAACTAGTATGAACATCGTGACATTAGAAATCTCCCCTTCGTCCTGCCATCAACACTACCAGCATGTCAGCTGTACAAACTTCTGTGGTGGAGCAACACTAACGCATCTGGCTGCAAAGTTTTCAAACACTAAAATATTTGGAAAACAAAAAACGTCTATTAAAACAACAAAAAACTGACAAACGTGTTTATCTGTTAATTTAATATGCAAATATTTCTATTATATCCTGTGAATAAGGTTTGTTGCAGGAAGGTATTATAACGCCAGTCTCTACAACACAACAAACAGTTCGTCTTTAAACACGAAAGTAGAATACGTACGTCTCATTGCCAGTTCCCAGTTACGAAATTCACAAACACCTGCCTCAGCATTTATACGTGTTATTAATCGGTTTTTAATACGAACGCAGAAGATCTGAAAATAATTTCCAACTCTCGGCATGTTTACTGCTCAGACCTTATCATGCTCAGTTCAGTTATCACCATAAACAGTACGCAAATAAGGAACAGTCACATAAGAAATGCAGTAGATTCCAGTTAATCGTGACAAACCTTAAAGAACGATAACAAATCGAGAAACTAACCGAATTTGTTTCGCTTATTTGGGACGCCATTCAATTTAATCGGGACAGATGGCGCGCGTGTGGCGTGGAAGAGTCAGTGAGTCATCGCTGATTCACTCGGTAACGAACACGTGCGTATTCAGACAGTGCAGCTATAAGCAACGAGACCATTCTGAACTGCTTTGCCCAGTGGTTTTAAGCATTCAGGCTTGGAGATGCCAGATACGACCGATTGTGAAAATGACGCCATTTTGGAAGTGCAACACGTCAGAAATTACGAAGAGTTTGCATGCATCGACAACAGTCTTCAATGTTACAATGAAAATGAAGATTATGAGGACGCAGTTGTTGAACAAATTGCAGCAAAACACCAGAAGACCAGGAAGGTGATGAGGACGACACACTTGAGCGAGTGACTAACCAGGATGCCAGGAAATTTGTTGCTGAAAGCAGTCCTAAATCTGCACTAGATACCTGCGCTGATTTTGTTAAGTTGCAGTCAATCAAGAGAACACGGCAGGGTACACTCGATAAATTCCTCCATCATTAACTGTTAAGAACTACACGCATGCGTGTCTGATACAAAAATTAAATTGAAATTGTTTTCAGCGTCAATATTTTTCTCTGAAATGTACCATTTGTTCCAGAATTCATTTACATTTGTTGCTCAAAAAATCATCTCGATAAACGGGAGTTTGTCTTTTTAACTCTTTGCGAAGAACTTCGCACAATTGGGCCAAAAGTGTTGTAGTCCCGATGTGTCCGAATTAACCGGAAACCACTGTATATCAGAAATCACTGTCACTACACACGTCAATGAACTATAATTTCGATTTCAATTCATGGACTTCCCGACATCTACCATACTACACGGCGCAACAATCCACAAGACAGAAATCTTCAGCAATGTTCTTGCTTTTGACAAAAAAGTGAGTTATAAGGACGAAACATTTTACTTATAAATTCCACGTTCCAAGCTGCAGTTACTGTAATAAATCGGGAAAAAATTTGGCCGACCGCGAAACTGTCGTTTTCTGTTTCCTCATAAGATACGGTCAATTTTCTTCACTACAGGAACGTTCCAAGATCTTGCACGATCATTAAAGGCAAGGATTAACAAACACGATTCGAGGCTACCTTCAATAACAGAGCTTCAAGACAATCGGCCACTTCAGTCAAAAAACTTGGGCTGCTGTATCAGTGTGGAAGCCGCATTGAAGTGCCCCTAGCGGCTGGGACTGTAAACTACCCATCCAGCGACCTAGAGCGCTTCCAGATATAGTAAGAGTGAAACATTAAGCATGAGGCCGCAGCGTTGCAACACTTGCTAAACGCCCGAGGTGTTCGTTTGATAGTGACTAGCTACGTGCTGGACGACTGGGGTTCGATCCCCGACGGAGGCAGAGGATTTTGGTCCTTTCCCGGGGGTAAAGCCGGCCGGGGCGTGATGCTGACCACTCACTCCCATCTTGTGTCGAGGTCAAGGAAGAGAGGAGCTATACCTCCACTCCCCCCCCCCCCAAACGACTTTCATGGCGTGTAGCATTGGATGAAATTTAAACAAACTCTTCAGACGAGGAATGTACTATTTTTATTTTATTTAGTGTTCTGTCTGACGACAGGTCCATATGAACAGGATCCTTCCATCCTTTTCTCGGACTGGGACCTGTTCATATACGTTTTTGGCAGATGATCCAGAAGTGGTTTGGCATTGCCTTCTTCTGTGTGTGAATGGGGTAATTGTTGGGATGCCACGGAGGAAAACTCCGTGTTGCCTAGACCACGGCCTTGCCCAACACAAGTTATAAATTCGGGCACCGCCGGGAATCGAACCCGAGACCCCAGGATTACAAGGCCAGCGTTCTAACCGCTAGACCACCGTGGCTATAGGAATGTACTACAAACAGCTTAAAGTACGTTCTTACGAAACAAACTCTAGGTTTTGTAAATGAAAACATATCCATAGATGGTGACAGAAATTGAAAGTAAAAGCTCACAAGGACCCGTGCTTCAATCTTATTTCTATATAGTCTTTTCCATACCATTACAATTTCTATGATGTAGCTCACATGGCCTAGGAAACGATGCATTCGTAAATCTGCGTTGGACGAACTTATCAATAACTCATCATCGGAAGTGAAACGTAGAAAAATAAGGAAATCAACGGGACGTTACGCCAAACGCTGCCGCAGTGGCCATACCACCGCATAACTTTACTTTTTCCATCACTTTTCAAACACGTTTTGATCGCATAATGCCGTCAAAGGGAGACTGAGACCGCGGGTTACAAGCAGTTTGTGGTGAAAAACGCGGATGATGGTCGAGTTAAATACTTACGCTGTTACATAAGCTGAGCAAAGCAAAGCAAGTTGATTTAAATAAGACGCAAAAGTGAAATTGTCTCCGACAGGCCGCGTATAATCGATTTTCCAGCGTTTAGCCTTTCTCATACTTCAGAACTACACACGAACATAACAAATTCTAGATTTATTCCAAAGTGTGATTGAGCAATGTCTTGGTATTCGTGACAAAAGAACGACTAATTACCTCTTTCCACCGCATTGTCCCCGTCACTTGTTAATATAACCACGAATCAGCATTGACGACAACCATGTCTGACCCCGCCCTGGTTTGCGAGTAATATAATCAGGAACGATTCTGTCTGCCGCAAGTCTTTTATTAAATTCTCTAAACTCAGCGGCACGTTTCAAGGATTTGTTCAAATAAGAGCTGACAACAGCGCTACATTCTTCGGCTGTGGGATTCAACGTCACACGCAGGAAAGGCCGTGGATCTCCGCGGTAATGCAGCACCAAGCACCATCATATAATCACCACTTAACAATATCAGGGCACGATAAACTGAAGATGAGATGTGTACGGGTGCGGGCAAACTACCTGGCACGTGAGCGAGGGTCGTAATGGTTGCGGCGAAGTCTGAAAACATTTATCTCATGTTTCAGTTTTGGGCAAAAGTATACGTCGTCCAGTCGAGCGCAGAGTGTGAGCCACGAGAACGCTCTGTTTGTGTTTCCAAGTTTCATTTTATCGGCAAATAGCATTACAGTTCCATTCAAGTGGATCGCTTCCTGAGATTAAATTCGTTCTAAATGACTAAGAGAGTCGCTATTAAGTTTCCTAAAATCTTGACGTAACTTTAAGACATTTCGAACTCAAATTTCAAAATTAGTTTTCGTAAAT